CCAGGCTGTGGTGGGTTTACTTCGTAGGAAATGAGGAGCCAGCGAAGTTTGGTAAGCAGAGAAGTGACAAGACCAGGTGAGAAGTAATGAGAGTGTTGGCAGTGAAAATGAAAATGAGGGGACAGACTGGAGAGACCTCTCTGAGAGGAAATGAGTTAAGGCCTGACAATGAGTAGCTGGACGCTTTCAAAGTGAAGTTCAAGGATCACCTGCTTCTCCTGGGATACAGATCAGCAATGTACTCTACACCTGTGGGTCAGCATCTCCAGGGACCGGGCGGGGGAATCTGCATGTGAACAACTGTCCTGGGTTTTCATCATGCATACCAGAGTCTGAGCTGCTGGTCCACATGGTCTATGTACCTACAGATATTGGGCACCCAAGGAAGATTCTGAATGACAAAATGAGTCAAAGAATTCTGAGGCTTTGACCATGGGCAATGGTGAAGTGGAGGCGCCATTAACAGACAGTGGAGTGTCAAGAGGAAGAGCTACTTTTTTGGACGGAAAGTTCTAGAGTTCGGTTCAGCTTGAGAGATGCTGGAGCAGGCCCAGTAGGTAGGAAGGTAGAAACAGTAGTTACACCTCTCACAACGAGCCTTTGGGACAAGAGAGATGGTGGGGTTTCATTCTCTAATTATTTTCAGAGACCAACCTGTTTGGAACGAGCTAGTCATGGACATTTCTAGAAGAAGGACCATGAACTAAATGATCTGAGGAAATTTCATCCGGTCCTAAGATGCAGTGACCCAAAAGTCTCTAACAGGATAGGAATAGAGGATGTTCACAGGAACAAAGAGAAAGAATGTTGTTTTTTCCTATCAGCTCAGACACCCATACCCCAAAACACCGAGGGTGTTTTAGTTCCTGGAAAATGAGAAGCAACGCCTTCTAGGCACGACTTGAGGTCTCTGGGGCATTTTGCCCACATCTGCTCAAGTAACTCACTGTTGCTACAGCTTTCACTGTGTCAGGAAACCCCAGGCCTCTCTCAGGGGCACCTCCCTCCCCCTGCCAGAATGTTTCACGTGGGCAAAGACTTGGATGTTTTGTTATTGCTATATCCTGGGCAACTTGAACAGGTGGGTGTTTGCTAACTGTTTACAGAATGAAGCTCTGCCATTTACTAGTGTTGAACCTTGAACAACTTAATCTCTTTCAACTTGTTTCCGTTTCTATAAAATGGGAGTGACAATAAGGTTCTTCATAAGATTGTTTGAGCATTAAACAAGATAATGTGTGCAGTGTGCTTGGCACAATGCCGGCACACGGTGATCCTCGATGCTGTAACTGTCTTGTGGTCATCATGATACCTGCCCCTCCGCTCCTGTGCTCACACGGAGTGGGGAGGAATATTGAGGGGGGGCTGCTGTCACACTCTTTAATCAGACCCACTCTCTCTGCATCTGACCCTTCTCAGTGCATAAAAATCATGTCGTTATTGTTGTTAGTTGCATTGAGTCAATTCTGACTCATGGCAATCCCGTGTTTGCAGAGTAGAACTGCTCCATAGGGTTTTCAAGGCTGTGACCTTTCAGAAGCCGATCACCAGGCCTGTCTTCCAAGGTGCCTCTGGGTGGGTTTGAACCATCAACCTGTCGCCTAGTAGTCCAGGGCTTAACTATCTGCACCATCCAAGGACTCCATAAAGGAGGCCGAACTTGCACAGAAGCAGAGCTGGAAAGAACCCTGCCCTCACACCATGCTGACTCTTATTAGCATCATCACTGGGGCTGGGGCCAAACCCATTCACCTGCTCATGTGCATGGTGGGAGGAAAGGGCAGGAAGGAATATTAAGGGTACTCTTCATTCCACAGAGGAAAATGAGGCCCCAGCAGCCTAGGGACTTGCTCAAGGTCACGTAGTAAGCCAGTGAGTCCAGGATAAGAGCCCAGGACACGTCTCCACTCCCAGCCCGGGCTTCACCACCCTGCGGCTGGGACCCTGGCGATGGCAACGCCCAGGTGTGTTGGAAGAAACGGGAAAGTGATGCTGAAGATGAAGGCTGGTGGAAAGGACCCCCAACCAAGGCTTTCGGAAGTACCCCTTGCCCCTCCCTTCCAGATTCTCTGGCCCCAGATGCAAATGAACCCAGGCCTAAGGAGGCCAGGGGAAGGAGAGGCCCCAGGGCAGACACAGGCAGGAAGACAGTGTCTGCCGCATCTCAGCAACTTCCCTGGAGTCAGGCTGGATGAGGGCACATGCCCCGGGGAGTGGAGAGACGAGGACTGGGCAACAAGGAGGCAACTTCTAAGAAGACAAAGCTCCTGTGTCAAGAAATGTCTCCACATACAGAGGCAACAAAAAGGAGAGGAATTGCCTCTGGGCAGAGGACTTCAGCTCTCCTTTGTTTACTGGATGTTTCTGGTTCCCAGCTTTAAATTGTGGCTTAGATTCGGTGGGTAATTTAATTAGACATTGCCAGGGCTTGGCTGAGGTTGTCTGGGAGCTGGTGGTTTAAAGTTCCTACCCTGTCATGGCCTCATCAATGAGCTATATTGAGAGGAGCTGTGTGTATGTTCGCGGAGAAGGGAGAGGAGGGGGTCAGAGCCCAGCACCCGGAAGATAGGCCTATTCTAACTTGACAGGCTCCCCGACAGACCAGCATTCCTGGGAACGCAGCCCAGGGCCTTCAGCACCCAGCACAGGAACTGGCACGGAGCGGGTGGGGGTGGGGGGTTGGTGCTCAGTATGTGCTGACTGACAGGGGACTGGACTGAGTAGATGAAATCAAAGCACGCAAAGAAAGATAAGAATGTATCAAGTGGACCTCAAAGAAAAACAATAATGTAAAAAACACTCTGAGGGCATCTTTAAAATGATCTCAGGGTCCGTCTTCTGCCTCTGTTCTAAAATCTGAGGAGCCTCACCCTCTGACTCAACTACTGACAACCAGGCCCTGGTCAGCCGGCCTGCTCCTCAGGTAAGAATGGTCAGACCTGGGGGAAATAGCTTCTGTTCTTCGGCCCAGTTTTCTCTAGAACTTCACTTGTTCCGAAAGGGTCTTTCATGCCGTGACCCTTCCTGGGTATTATGATCCTTCTAAAAATTCAGTTACTGTCAAGTTGATTCTGACTCATGGCACCCCCATGTGTATCCAAAGAGAACTGTGCTCTAGAGGGTTTTTAATGGTTGTTTTTTTTTTTGGAAGTAGATTGCCAGGCCTTTCTTCCAAGGCACCTCTGGGTGGACTTGAACCTCCAATCTTTAGGTTAGCAGTCGAGTGCTTAACCGTGCCTGCCAGGGACTCCATGACCCTTTTAGTTTCCCCCCAAAGATAGATTAAGCCTTCATCCTTCCCAAATGTTGGAGAGGGACTAGGGCCTTTATGTCCCCAGGGTGATTCTCCATATGCTTCAGAGATTTAGTCTGAAATAGAAAAGCTAACACCTGCTGGTCTATTCTGAGCAGGACTGGAATTCCCTGTCAGGTGTCCGAACTGCTGGTCTCCTTGGTCCCACTTCCTTGCCTGAGCTTTGTTGCCACACACAGGCGCAAGCACACGTGCGCTCACACAGACACACACACACATCCCCTCCCCCATCTGACACCTCCACCCTCACCTCCAACCTCTATCCAAATTGCACAATTACATTCTCTCCCTCTCCCTCAGCCCCACCCCCTCCCTTTCCCACCAGGGTTTAAGGCCCTCCAGATGCTAACACTTTGGGGAAGCCTTTCCCCAGAAAGCCTTACTCAAGCGGACAGTGTCTGCAAGGTCCTTGGCACAGAGGTTGCTGGGAGTTACGACTATAAGGTTGGAGACCAAGGGTGGAAAGTTGCCCCTTTCCCATGACAATCCCAATTAGCAGACAGGATGTGGGGGCTTTCTAAAGAGGCTGAGATGCTCAAACAGCTGTTCTCTGACCCTCTGGGACTCTGCCAGTCATCTCTAAGCTCCCTCCCCACCACACCTGCCTCTGCAGGCTTCTAGGTTATTCTCTGCCTATGCTGAAAGCCCAGGCGGAATTCTAGAATCTTCCCCCACCCTGCCCCCCTCACTCACTGAAGAGATTCCTGGGGAGACAGGGGACACTTGTTCTCGGTTGTCAACAAAGCCTCGATATACTGAGCCAAGCAAAGTGATGCAGCTCTGCCCTGCTCCCCCCTCCAGTGACACCCTGCCACCCTGACCCCCATTCTGTAGGCTCCCTGCCTCCCCCTGACCTGGAAAGGCTCGTCAGCTGAGAGGCAGGGCTGCAGGGGCCACAGTGGCAAACTGATTCTCATAAAAAGATAGTTTAGCTTTCTAGGGGGCTAGCATATCTTTCCCTCTGAGGCCACGGTTTCAGGAAGAAGCCCAGGGACAGTTTCTCCTTAGGAATCCGCTTCCTCCTCCTGGACAAAGGGAGCGGCTTCCCCGCCTGGCATTCCGAGCCCCCTCCTCCCCTTCGTCTCTCCATCTGCTCTGGCCTGTTGCTTCAGCACTCAGAGTGCGAGGGCAGCCACAGCAATGCCACAGCGTCCAGGGTATTTCATCCCCCGAATCCCGCGAATGCCAGGCTCTCCTCCCGCGGAGACCCGGACCCTTCCCGTACCCGTCTACGGCTAGAGCCTCCAGGGGAATCCCTTCTTCCTTCCCCAGAACCGACAGGGAGGGGCAGAGCGGGGGGGAAGGGCGGCATATATGTCAGGCCTGAGGCAAAGCAAGGTCGGCCTAGGAGTGCAGGATGAGCGCCTTTGCGAGGGGCTGGTATGGCTGGTGGCTGGGGTCGCCCAGAATGTCTACACAGGAGGATTTCGAGCCGTCAAACGCTGCAAAGGGGGCGTGGAAGGGGGTTCTTAGGGACTGGATTGAAGCTGAGTTGAACACTGATACTACATGGTTGGACGTTTATGGGGGGTGCTTAAGAGGATCGTGGGGAGCAAAGCGGCCCCACACCACCTCTTGGTAACCCCTACTGCAACGGGGTGCCTACTGGGTGGCCGGCGGGCGGCTGAGGCAGGAGATCCTGCTCAGGGAGGGAGGTGGGCGCAGGAGGGCAGGGGCGACCGCTCACCCGTGTCCTGGCGGAACTGGTTCATGGACTGCAGGTCGATGATGTAGGGCGCTAGACGGCTGTCCACCTGGCCCAGCACCACGCTGCCCCCGGCGCGGGGACCAGCGCGCACCACCGCCTCGATGTGGTGGCTCACGGCCGGGCTGTAGGGCCTCCAGCGGCCGTGCTCGTTCAGCCATTCCCAGACCACCACGGCCGAGGCCAGGAGCATGGCGAGCCCG